AGTCCTTCTCCCCTTTCCTGGTCTCGCTGAACTTTCGGTGGTATTGCTCGGGAGTGACAGCATACCTGGCCAGGAGAATCTGTTTGATTAAGGGTTAGTCCCTGATCTGGTCTTCTGGTACAGCCTGGTAGGCTTCCGATGCCTTCCCCACTAATTTGTTGGCCAGGATGGTGACCCAGTCTGTGGGGCAGACGACTTGGAGTAGGCACTGGTGCTCAAAATCTTGCAGAAAGTCATCAATGCCTTCTTCTGCTTCCTTAAACTCCTTGAAGGCATTGTATGGCAGTTTGCGGGCCGGGTGGTTGTGCTTCCCGGCGCCCTCTCTTCTATCGTTCCTCCATCTGGGTTTGTGGGGGAGGCCCTCTGTCTATTGGCAAGGATATAGGCTTGTACCTCCGAAAAGGTCCTGCTGACGGTCTCCTCTGAGGGTGGCTCTCTGTAATATGCCAGGCACTGTGCCACCTCCTTGCGCACTTCTTCCTCTTCTCCAGCCCCTGGCTGGGGAGTAGTTGCCTCACTGTGTGCCTGGTCGTCCTCCATGAGCGCAGCAGTCAATTAAGCCTTGTTACGACCACCAGGCGTTATCCCTCTGGCTTCACACAAGTCTTGCAGTGTTGGTCGCTTTAGAGTACTGTAGTCCATGGGTCTGTTGTCAGGGACATGGGATCCCACCGCTGCCACCAGTTGTAGCTGGACCGGGGTAACCTGGCTGGTTATCCCCTTTGGTAATGATAGGTCAGACCCATTTCCCCAGTACAAGGGGTAGAGTCAGCGCTAGTCCAGAAGGCAGCAGTCCCAAACAGGGAATCCCTCTAATGTCCCTGGAAATCAGATAGTAAAAACAGAAAAGGTGGGGGGATGGGTCTGCGCCAATGTGCACAATAAATAGTATTATTAAGTCCAGTAGAATCTATTCTGTCGCATCCAAGGGTCTACTTCAGTAATATCCAAGAGATGTTTGATGGTGTGAAGAATAATCCAAATATGTAAAAAATAGAAGAGATCTTACTTACAATTGGCAGAGCTTAACCCAGCTCTGGTGTGAATGGCTTACAGCGGTATTATCCCCGCTTTCAGGATATGCGGCAAGTGTCCTCTTCTTTGTGGTGGCAGGTAACCAAGTTGAAAAATAAAAGTAGAGACAATAATGGTGCAGTATATTCCACACGTATGGTAAAAATTATAAAATATAGTAGATACACTCACATTCGGTAGAGTTTTAACTAGCTCTAGTTGATTTGGCGTACAGCGGTATTATCCCCGCTTATGGGATATAAGGTGAGTGATCTTGACTTGGACCTCAGGAGCTCGGAGAGAAGATAAAACAGCGATAGTGCTCTCAATAAAATTTAGGTGAATGAATAAAATAATAAAATATACTCACAATATATAGGGCAGGCTAACTGCTCTATGTAACAGCGTGGGTGGTATAATCCCCACCTAGGATTCTTTGGAGTATAGTATCCAGAAAATAAAAAATTAAAAAAATAATAAAATGGATAAAACGTATTGTTTAAAATAAAGGAAAAATGCTATATAAAAGGCCAGGTAATAAAAAACAAAAGATGATGGTTTTAACATAAAAATAACCAAAATCTTTATTATTGACAGTATATAAAACAGTAATAAATATCCAAACGCGTTTCGCCAATATGAGGCTTTATCAATGGATAATAAATGGTTTATCCATTGATAAAGCCTCATATTGGCGAAACGCGTTTGGATATTTATTACTGTTTTATATACTGTCAATAATAAAGATTTTGGTTATTTTTATGTTAAAACCATCATCTTTTGTTTTTTATTACCTGGCCTTTTATATAGCATTTTTCCTTTATTTTAAACAATACGTTTTATCCATTTTATTATTTTTTTAATTTTTTATTTTCTGGATACTATACTCCAAAGAATCCTAGGTGGGGATTATACCACCCACGCTGTTACATAGAGCAGTTAGCCTGCCCTATATATTGTGAGTATATTTTATTATTTTATTCATTCACCTAAATTTTATTGAGAGCACTATCGCTGTTTTATCTTCTCTCCGAGCTCCTGAGGTCCAAGTCAAGATCACTCACCTTATATCCCATAAGCGGGGATAATACCGCTGTACGCCAAATCAACTAGAGCTAGTTAAAACTCTACCGAATGTGAGTGTATCTACTATATTTTATAATTTTTACCATACGTGTGGAATATACTGCACCATTATTGTCTCTACTTTTATTTTTCAACTTGGTTACCTGCCACCACAAAGAAGAGGACACTTGCCGCATATCCTGAAAGCGGGGATAATACCGCTGTAAGCCATTCACACCAGAGCTGGGTTAAGCTCTGCCAATTGTAAGTAAGATCTCTTCTATTTTTTACATATTTGGATTATTCTTCACACCATCAAACATCTCTTGGATATTACTGAAGTAGACCCTTGGATGCGACAGAATAGATTCTACTGGACTTAATAATACTATTTATTGTGCACATTGGCGCAGACCCATCCCCCCACTTTTTCTGTTTTTACCATTTCCCCAGTAACTGGACGGGACACAGTTCCAGGGTACAACTTTGACAATCTTTATTAGGGCACACAGCTTTTTATGCACAGATCCCCACAGGGGGTCTCCATCCACACAGCACAAACCCAAGCATGAGGGGGCAGGGTGACAGATAACCACCCCTGGCTCTGGGAGATACTAACAGGACACAGGGACACACCTGAATACACATTACATACAGGAGGGTGAACTTTGGGGATCGGCACCCCGGACAGGAAGGGGGTACAGAGTTAAACCTTATAATGCTTAATAGCCTCAAGTCCCACCTAGGATCCCTGCAAAAATCAAGACAATCGAATGTACAGAGCCAGAGATATCAGCATTGAAAGTCTGGGGTTCGAGGCTTTGTACATCCCCGAAATTAGTTCCATGGTGTTGCTTGGTTTAGTACGGCGAATTCAAACTTTCGTGCCTAAACCAAGCATCAACCAATCAGCTGACAGGGCGCAAACCAAATCGCATCAATCAGCGTTCAGGGGATAAATGAGTTTTGCTGCCCAATCCGAAGAAAGGGCACGGAACTCGGTTGCACCAATCAGTGCTCGGGAAGGAGAGGGGTTTCGCCGCCCAATCAGGGCAAAGGGTGCAAAACCCAATTGCACCAATCTGCTGGAAGGTGCGAAACTAATTTGCACCAATCAGAGCCCGGGGATGAGAGAGGTTTCGCCGCCCAATCAGAAGAAAGGGTGCGAAACCCCGTTTGAACCGCACTCCTTCTCTGATTGGTCGCCTGCATCCTGTGGTGACCAATCAGCGCTTTACTCGTGCCGACCAACCAGGGGTGCTCCTTCTTCCATTAGTCGGCACAGACTTCCATGCGGCCGGCAGGAACCCTGCAGCCATGAGACCGACTCACAGCCCCAGGGACTCCCTGCTGGCGCGCTTCCTTCTCTCCGGTGGATATCCCCACGCAGGTATCCACCGGAGAGAGCGCTCTCCCAGGCAGCCACGAGCCTAGCCTCATTGCTCCCAGGTAGGGAAAAAGGGATGAGTTGGGGAGCGGGTAGGATGATCCCAGGGGAAGCACACGCCGCTTGTACCCTTGCCGTCTGTGGTTTTTACACCTCGTTAGCGAGGTGTGAGCATTCTAAGTAAACGTTCTAAATGAAGTGCCGGGATGGTCCCGCGCATGGGGCTCTGTGCACCGGAGCGTGTCTGGGTGGTCAAAGAGTATTCAACTTTCAATCATTTTGAAAACTTTTTTCCCAATTATAAGTGTACTTTAGTCTTAATAACTTTGCCTGAAAATACATACCTTCACTTGTAGTGGTGAGAGTACAGGTGAAGAGCTCTGGTAGGTAAAAGTGAAAATGAGAGGAGCTTTTTTACATATTAAATGTCGTTTAGAAATTTGTTGGTAGGTCTACCTCCCAAATGTAACAAGTGTTTCTACACAGGAGTTTTTTTTTTTAATTCTTTATTTTTGTTGTGCGTAAGCTTATAACAATCGCTCATGAGGTACCCCAAAGGCAATCCTCAAGCACATTAAAACAGTCAAACATAGAGGTACATAATAAAAAAAGCACATTTTTAAGTTATAAACAATCTGGTTTTACGTTGCTTAGGTATTTTTAGGATATGACAGAACTTTGTTAGAAGGTTGACCATCATATTTAACAACTTGTTAATGTTTGTACAGGCTTAGACATTTCTATAGTAAGTTAAAAGTTAATCTGGCTTAAACTTGCATTGTTTTAGGTTCGCTATAATAAGCAATATAATAAGTATTTTAATTGTTCTCGCTAACATTACAGCAGGTTATATCTCAGTAGGACATATACAAAGCACGTTTGCTCTACGCTGTTCTTTATAAGCACTATGCTTGGTTACACATAAACACATGGTAGTATTTTAGGCATTCTCGCTAACATTGCAGCAGGTTATATCTCAGTAAAACAAATAAAAATCCCCTTTACTCTGAGCTGTACTTTATGAACACTGTGCTTGGTTACATGTAAATTGCTAGCTTAGCTCCAATAGGTGAGAGGCTTGCGTTGCCCTATCCAGTAACTGCATATCTAAATAACACCAAAACAGCAGGAGGAGAGAGTGCGCAATAAAAGGCTGCCAAAAAATATATAGGACTAAGTGGTGAGACCAAAAAATAACAGTGAAAAAAGCGAAATAATGTTCCGAGGCACAATTTACTGGCATATATATAGCATGGGATAGTCCGGTGTAATGGCTACGAGTTTGGGAGCCCAGATCAACCTATGCCAGTCACCATCACAGCTGAGTCTCGCAATGGGAGGTATAGTGGCGGGCCAGAAAGTGTGGCGGTAGCCATATAACGTGTGGGCGTTTCCCCCGGTATCTTCAGCCCTTTGAGAGTTCCAGTGCTAGGCTGCCTTCTTCTTGTGTAGCTTGTGCTGGGTGCTGCTTAGCTTTAGGTGAGTTGTCTTGGTCTGTCCGTTTGTTTCCCTTGTGTGGTTGCTGGTGCCGGACTTGAGGTTGTCTCCGCTGAGGAATGCACTTTGTCGCCGTTTGGACTCGCTGTCGCAGCTGTTTCGCCGGGTGGGTGGGTTTGTGCCGCTCCTCCAAGTCAGGCATGTGTGGCATCCCCATTTTCTCTGTCTCCTCTGGGTCCGATGGAGCCTGGTCAGGCCCGATCCCGGGGCTGTGGGGGTGGTGCTGTCATGGGGGGAGGTAGACTGTTTTGGTATCGCTGCTGTTCCGCCCACGTTTTCCAGCTTCTCCTGCAATTTCCTCCACAAATCCGCAAAATGTTGATCTATTTTGGATGGTAGGCTGTCGCATAGCAGTTGTGGGTCAGCGTGGTTCTCTTTTGCCGTTTCCTTGCAGGCATCCGCCATCTTAGGTATGAAGTCTACTACACAGGAGTTTTTACTCAGTAATCAATGTGGGTATAATAATTGAAAGACTTAATTGCATTAATTATATTTGTATTAGCTGATAAAGGATATCAGTAGCTGTTGAAGAAAGTTTTATGGATTATTGTTTCTCAAACCATAACAAAGATAATCTTGTAGTTTCATACACAACAATTATATATCTCTTCCATATTGCTCTAATAAAGAAATCACAGCTCTGAAGAGTTCAGTTTTCACCCTAAGCAATAAATCTTCTAAAACTCTGAATCAGGAAATAAATTGAAGTTTAAAATCTCAAGGGTTGTGATTCAATTATGCTTGCTCTATTTTGTACTGTACTGGACCCATAAATCAATAAGTCCTGTAAAGCAATAAAGACAATACTGAGCACTATATTCCAAAGAGTTAATGTACAATTTAATCACTGTTATGATCCATATATACTGTACATTTGTTTATATTTTTTTATATGCTTTATATATTTTTTTTTATTTTGTCATCATTTACAATACATTGACTGCTGTCATAGGTTATAGTGTCTGAGTATATCATTTTATATGGAGCTACACAAGTTATGACTAGAGTTGAGCGGACACCTGGATTTTCGGGTTCGCCGAGTTTGGCCGAACTTCGTAAAAAAGTTCGAGTTTGGGCTCGAACTTGACCTGAACTTGACCCCGAACCCGAACCCCATTGAAGTCAATGGGGACCTGCACTTTTGGGCACTAAAATGCCTCTAAAAAAGTCCTGGAAATGTTTAGAGGGCTGCAAAAGGAAGTAAAATGCGGGTGAGAGTAGGACAAGTGCTCTGCAAACAAATGTGGATGGGAAATTGTAACAGCGTGGGTGGTATAATCCCCACCTAGGATTCTTTGGAGTATAGTATCCAGAAAATAAAAAATTAAAAAAATAATAAAATGGATAAAACGTATTGTTTAAAATAAAGGAAAAATGCTATATAAAAGGCCAGGTAATAAAAAACAAAAGATGATGGTTTTAACATAAAAATAACCAAAATCTTTATTATTGACAGTATATAAAACAGTAATAAATATCCAAACGCGTTTCGCCAATATGAGGCTTTATCAATGGATAATAAATGGTTTATCCATTGATAAAGCCTCATATTGGCGAAACGCGTTTGGATATTTATTACTGTTTTATATACTGTCAATAATAAAGATTTTGGTTATTTTTATGTTAAAACCATCATCTTTTGTTTTTTATTACCTGGCCTTTTATATAGCATTTTTCCTTTATTTTAAACAATACGTTTTATCCATTTTATTTTTTTTTAATTTTTATTTTCTGGATACTATACTCCAAAGAATCCTAGGTGGGGATTATACCACCCACGCTGTTACATAGAGCAGTTAGCCTGCCCTATATATTGTGAGTATATTTTATTATTTTATTCATTCACCTAAATTTTATTGAGAGCACTATCGCTGTTTTATCTTCTCTCCGAGCTCCTGAGGTCCAAGTCAAGATCACTCACCTTATATCCCATAAGCGGGGATAATACCGCTGTACGCCAAATCAACTAGAGCTAGTTAAAACTCTACCGAATGTGAGTGTATCTACTATATTTTATAATTTTTACCATACGTGTGGAATATACTGCACCATTATTGTCTCTACTTTTATTTTTCAACTTGGTTACCTGCCACCACAAAGAAGAGGACACTTGCCGCATATCCTGAAAGCGGGGATAATACCGCTGTAAGCCATTCACACCAGAGCTGGGTTAAGCTCTGCCAATTGTAAGTAAGATCTCTTCTATTTTTTACATATTTGGATTATTCTTCACACCATCAAACATCTCTTGGATATTACTGAAGTAGACCCTTGGATGCGACAGAATAGATTCTACTGGACTTAATAATACTATTTATTGTGCACATTGGCGCAGACCCATCCCCCCACTTTTTCTGTTTTTACCATTTCCCCAGTAACTGGACGGGACACAGTTCCAGGGTACAACTTTGACAATCTTTATTAGGGCACACAGCTTTTTATGCACAGATCCCCACAGGGGGTCTCCATCCACACAGCACAAACCCAAGCATGAGGGGGCAGGGTGACAGATAACCACCCCTGGCTCTGGGAGATACTAACAGGACACAGGGACACACCTGAATACACATTACATACAGGAGGGTGAACTTTGGGGATCGGCACCCCGGACAGGAAGGGGGTACAGAGTTAAACCTTATAATGCTTAATAGCCTCAAGTCCCACCTAGGATCCCTGCAAAAATCAAGACAATCGAATGTACAGAGCCAGAGATATCAGCATTGAAAGTCTGGGGTTCGAGGCTTTGTACATCCCCGAAATTAGTTCCATGGTGTTGCTTGGTTTAGTACGGCGAATTCAAACTTTCGTGCCTAAACCAAGCATCAACCAATCAGCTGACAGGGCGCAAACCAAATCGCATCAATCAGCGTTCAGGGGATAAATGAGTTTTGCTGCCCAATCCGAAGAAAGGGCACGGAACTCGGTTGCACCAATCAGTGCTCGGGAAGGAGAGGGGTTTCGCCGCCCAATCAGGGCAAAGGGTGCAAAACCCAATTGCACCAATCTGCTGGAAGGTGCGAAACTAATTTGCACCAATCAGAGCCCGGGGATGAGAGAGGTTTCGCCGCCCAATCAGAAGAAAGGGTGCGAAACCCCGTTTGAACCGCACTCCTTCTCTGATTGGTCGCCTGCATCCTGTGGTGACCAATCAGCGCTTTACTCGTGCCGACCAACCAGGGGTGCTCCTTCTTCCATTAGTCGGCACAGACTTCCATGCGGCCGGCAGGAACCCTGCAGCCATGAGACCGACTCACAGCCCCAGGGACTCCCTGCTGGCGCGCTTCCTTCTCTCCGGTGGATATCCCCACGCAGGTATCCACCGGAGAGAGCGCTCTCCCAGGCAGCCACGAGCCTAGCCTCATTGCTCCCAGGTAGGGAAAAAGGGATGAGTTGGGGAGCGGGTAGGATGATCCCAGGGGAAGCACACGCCGCTTGTACCCTTGCCGTCTGTGGTTTTTACACCTCGTTAGCGAGGTGTGAGCATTCTAAGTAAACGTTCTAAATGAAGTGCCGGGATGGTCCCGCGCATGGGGCTCTGTGCACCGGAGCGTGTCTGGGTGGTCAAAGAGTATTCAACTTTCAATCATTTTGAAAACTTTTTTCCCAATTATAAGTGTACTTTAGTCTTAATAACTTTGCCTGAAAATACATACCTTCACTTGTAGTGGTGAGAGTACAGGTGAAGAGCTCTGGTAGGTAAAAGTGAAAATGAGAGGAGCTTTTTTACATATTAAATGTCGTTTAGAAATTTGTTGGTAGGTCTACCTCCCAAATGTAACAAGTGTTTCTACACAGGAGTTTTTTTTTTTTAATTCTTTATTTTTGTTGTGCGTAAGCTTATAACAATCGCTCATGAGGTACCCCAAAGGCAATCCTCAAGCACATTAAAACAGTCAAACATAGAGGTACATAATAAAAAAAGCACATTTTTAAGTTATAAACAATCTGGTTTTACGTTGCTTAGGTATTTTTAGGATATGACAGAACTTTGTTAGAAGGTTGACCATCATATTTAACAACTTGTTAATGTTTGTACAGGCTTAGACATTTCTATAGTAAGTTAAAAGTTAATCTGGCTTAAACTTGCATTGTTTTAGGTTCGCTATAATAAGCAATATAATAAGTATTTTAATTGTTCTCGCTAACATTACAGCAGGTTATATCTCAGTAGGACATATACAAAGCACGTTTGCTCTACGCTGTTCTTTATAAGCACTATGCTTGGTTACACATAAACACATGGTAGTATTTTAGGCATTCTCGCTAACATTGCAGCAGGTTATATCTCAGTAAAACAAATAAAAATCCCCTTTACTCTGAGCTGTACTTTATGAACACTGTGCTTGGTTACATGTAAATTGCTAGCTTAGCTCCAATAGGTGAGAGGCTTGCGTTGCCCTATCCAGTAACTGCATATCTAAATAACACCAAAACAGCAGGAGGAGAGAGTGCGCAATAAAAGGCTGCCAAAAAATATATAGGACTAAGTGGTGAGACCAAAAAATAACAGTGAAAAAAGCGAAATAATGTTCCGAGGCACAATTTACTGGCATATATATAGCATGGGATAGTCCGGTGTAATGGCTACGAGTTTGGGAGCCCAGATCAACCTATGCCAGTCACCATCACAGCTGAGTCTCGCAATGGGAGGTATAGTGGCGGGCCAGAAAGTGTGGCGGTAGCCATATAACGTGTGGGCGTTTCCCCCGGTATCTTCAGCCCTTTGAGAGTTCCAGTGCTAGGCTGCCTTCTTCTTGTGTAGCTTGTGCTGGGTGCTGCTTAGCTTTAGGTGAGTTGTCTTGGTCTGTCCGTTTGTTTCCCTTGTGTGGTTGCTGGTGCCGGACTTGAGGTTGTCTCCGCTGAGGAATGCACTTTGTCGCCGTTTGGACTCGCTGTCGCAGCTGTTTCGCCGGGTGGGTGGGTTTGTGCCGCTCCTCCAAGTCAGGCATGTGTGGCATCCCCATTTTCTCTGTCTCCTCTGGGTCCGATGGAGCCTGGTCAGGCCCGATCCCGGGGCTGTGGGGGTGGTGCTGTCATGGGGGGAGGTAGACTGTTTTGGTATCGCTGCTGTTCCGCCCACGTTTTCCAGCTTCTCCTGCAATTTCCTCCACAAATCCGCAAAATGTTGATCTATTTTGGATGGTAGGCTGTCGCATAGCAGTTGTGGGTCAGCGTGGTTCTCTTTTGCCGTTTCCTTGCAGGCATCCGCCATCTTAGGTATGA